ATGCTTCTCAAACTAAATGCATCTACCACAGTAGCCCACAACAATCCTCTTTGGCAATAAGCAGCTGATATTGTAAACAGGCTTAGGTAATTGATGCAAGTTCTTTAGTGTCAAAGATTACATTCATTTTTGCATGATATACGTTATGATTCAAGAAGAGGTTTTGTCCTAAATTTCTTATTTTATTTCTTTCCTTTTTTTGGTAATCTTTTACATTTGCTAAAAAATGTTGGTTGGCGTTTGTTTGTGATAAATTGGAATATCAGTAACTTTGTAAAAATAGGATATTAAGTTAGGAATTAACCTTGTGACATTTATTGCATTAAAAAAAATTGTATTCTGAGATTGAGTTCACAGTGAAATCTCAATAACAGGCACTATTTGCATGCATTATTATTTTTTCTAAAGACCTAGTAATTCTGAGCTTGTGTGAAAATGTTTGTTATACTAAAGTCTGTTGTGGCGTTGAATTTGGAATGATTTGAGGGTTTTTGTTTTCAGGCTCAGTACTATGGAGAGATCGGTCTTGGCACTCCTGTCCAGACCTTCACAGTGGTGTTTGACACAGGATCCTCCAACCTGTGGGTGCCATCGGTCCACTGTTCCCTGACTGATATTGCCTGCTGTAAGTCCACAGAGAGCCTAGGAAGTTCATTTCAATATTACGGTATTATCAGATCAGTGTTGCCTTTAAATTGGTAACAATAAAATACACACACACTTTATAGTATTGTAAAATAATTGTTTTGATGTCAAGAACAACATATACTGGCAGTATTCAGGAAACTAGTGTTTCTTGTTATATTGTTTAATTCTGTGTTTTCACACTAGACCACAATTCACTTTGTAAGCATATTGTAAAGTGATTTCTTTGTAAAACAAGAATCCTTTTCAGTGTGGCCAAATGTTGCTCAAGTTTTTTGTGGCCTCATTTTAGCGAACTGATAGCAAGTTTGTTCCTGTAATCGGAACAAGAACTTGTCAGTGATTGTATCTCACCCTTTCAAAGTAGTTAGGTGCATTTAACTCTTGCCGTAAAAGAGTCTTGCAGATCATCCTTAATGACTAAGTGCTTTACTTGGTGTGAATATTTGGATGCTTCTGTATGTTTCATAAAATTTACTTGGCCACATTTTGCCTAGCACTTTTTAGAAATGAATTTTTACAGGTAGCACAGCCTGAAGGCCTGTGCTTAATATGTAATTAAAAACATTTAAATGCATAAATTTAATTATTAAATTTAGTACAAAATTAAGTGCCATTTTTCTGCAAGAGGATAAAGGCCCCGACATGAAATATAAGGTTAATAATTGGTCTCTGTGAGTGTTGCACACAGTAGCTAGATGAGCGTGATAAGTACTGTGACTATATCGTGTATGTATATACAGCTGGAGCACTGTATATACAGCTGGAGCACTGTATACCAAAAAAAGTATTTAACTGAAGAATTACTTTTAACCCTGTAGTGCTTCATCACAAATACAATGGGGGCAAGTCAAGCACCTATGTGAAGAACGGTACTGAATTTTCCATACAGTATGGTTCCGGAAGCTTGTCTGGGTATCTCAGCCAGGACACATGCACGGTAGGAATCATCAGTTAACAAGTCAGATTTTTTTTTTGGTCACCTGAAATGGTGAAAGAAACCGAACTGTTACTTCTCTTTTAGGTTGGGGATATTGTAGTTGAGAAGCAGATATTTGGAGAAGCTATCAAACAGCCAGGAGTAGCCTTCATTGCAGCCAAGTTTGATGGTATTCTCGGCATGGCTTATCCTCGCATCTCTGTGGATGGGGTTCCTCCTGTTTTTGACATGATGATGAGCCAGAAGAAAGTGGAGAAAAATATTTTCTCTTTCTACCTGAACAGGTACATACATTTGTTTAAGCCATCCAAGCCTCATCTGTCACAGATTTTTTTGAAACGAATAATTACATGTCGGTCTGCCATAAACATGCATTCAATGAAGTAACTTCCAGGCCTGATTTCTGTAGATGACCCCATTTTAATTGTCCGACAGAAACCCTGACACCCAACCTGGTGGTGAGTTGCTCCTTGGAGGCACAGACCCCAAATATTACACTGGAGACTTTAACTACGTGGACATCAGCAGACAGGCCTATTGGCAGATTCACATGGATGGGTGAGAGATTTTTGGGTCCTTGTATTGTGTAATGCAGTGGTCATCTTTTTTTATTTATACAAATATATGTTTAGAAATTAAAGCTAGGAAACGGAGTTAATTTTAGGCAAGAAGGTATCTAATTTCAAATTATCAACCGATTCTGACTGTTTAAAGGGTCATGAAACACCAAACTACTTTTTCTGAGATTTTAGCAGAGGTGTTTGTGTTGCACAACATAGAAGACCATGTTAGCATCCATTAATTTTAATTGTTGGAGAAAACTGGTTAATTTTGAGCTTTTTTGTGCTATTTTCGTCTTCCGGCTTTAAAATCTACACCGTGTTGACATCACAGTTTGTTATTGGAGGTGCAACAGCGTGTTCATATATTTTCGATGCAGAGTGCAAATGGCTATGCATTTATATGTGTTTTTAACTCGATGAGAGTTGTCTGCGTTGTACACCACACCCACTTTTGTAGCTTTTTTCAAAACTGTGGTGAAAACTAACCCGTGCTGAAACTGGGTTTCATTACCCTTTAAGCCTTTCTATCATGCAATACCATTTTACTTAAATGCATAAAAGTGACAACTTTTTTTTTTTTTTTTTTTTGGACACTCAATGCAACTTGAGAAATGTAGTTAGTTGGAACATGAAAGCTGTATCTGTTTTGAAAATGTTAACTTTTGAGGTACAACTGTAAAGGCAACATTTTTCACACAAAAATCGCAGTGCCTCTTAAACACCGTTTGTGTTCGTTTACGTTCAAACTGGAGTGTGGAAATTTGTCGTTTATCTGAAAAATGGATTGCATGCATGTGTAATATGTTCTGAAATATGCTGGTCTATCATGTGAGAGGCAAGAATCTTACCACTGAACCACCAATGCAGAAGATCCCTATAACAATAATCTAGTGCTCTGTGTTTGTTTGTGTAGCATGAGCATTGGCAGTGAGCTGACTCTGTGTAAAGGAGGATGTGAAGCCATCGTGGACTCTGGGACGTCTCTGATCACTGGCCCAGCTGCTGAAGTCAAAGCCCTGCAGAAGGCTATTGGTGCAATCCCTCTCATACAGGGAGAGGTATTGCAACTTTAAGTGTTTATATAATTGTACATCACTGATGCGTTGTGACTAGATATCTATTCAGATCCATTGTTATTTTTTGAGAAATAAAAAAGTTCAAAAGAACAGCATTTATTTCAAGTAGAAATCTTTTATAACATTAAAATTGTCACTCTTGACCAATGTAATGCATCCTTTCTGAATAAAAGTATTCATTTTCTTACTGACCTTAAAATTAACTAGTTATTTGTTTAATTATTTTTATTTACAAGACTGGTCAACAAAGTATGCAGGCTTGGTGTGTTGTTATTAATGGTAACTTATTTATTGAAATGTATAATGACTTGATAATGTTCTCTAACTAAACACGTTTTCTCTGTAGTATATGATAGACTGTAAAAAAGTGCCCACACTCCCCACCATCTCATTCGTCCTGGGTGGAAAGACTTACTCACTGACTGGAGAACAGTACATACTCAAGGTCAGTCCTAGTTTGTCACCTAAGTGCTGTTGTTGTGTTGTGGCACTTTGTATCAGCAGAACTGTGAAATTGAGGTGTTGTTTTTGACAAGGTCCTGCATGAGCCAAGATATAAAAAAATAACATTTACCTGGAGTTTTATTTTCTTGTAAATCACATGCAGCTAGCCAGTATTGTGTGAGCAAAACACTGAAGGGATTCTTGGTGATCACAAAAACATTCTAAAGATGGTATCTCTCTTTGTGTGTTTGTATGTGTTTACAGGAAAGCCAGGCTGGAAAGGAGATCTGTCTGAGTGGATTCATGGGCCTGGATATCCCACCCCCTGCTGGACCCCTGTGGATTCTGGGTGATGTGTTCATTGGGGAGTACTACACTGTGTTTGATCGGGAGAATAACCGAGTGGGCTTTGCTAAGTCCGTATAAGCCCAACTGTAGACCTTAACACTTAAGATGTGTCATGAGAGAAATAAGAAATCTATGTACTTGTCATCTCTGCTTAAATGACACAATAGCGGTATGATTGTGTTTTGCACTGCTTTTAGCTTTCAAATGTTTTCGTTTTAAAGAGGCATGTGGAGATGAAATGATTCAGGGAAAAGTTACACTCATTTGCTTTTTAGCCGAGGCCTATTTGAATATGTGATTGAAACACAAGGTTTTAACGTTTATTTTTTAATTGTCATGTCATTGATTTTAGACACTACCTGTTTTAAGATTTTTATTGTTGAAAATGACCTTCCAATGACTGAACAAATCAAAATGGACAATAAAGGTTTTAAACCCATCTATGTTGTTAAACCTACCTTTTTTTATTTAAAGGGACACGTGATATATTTTTACCATATCAGTTCTGATTAGGTAATAGAGATTTTATTATTATTTAAAATGCATTTATTGATATTGGATGTATAATGGTCAAAGCATTTGCCATTCTCTGACCCTCACTTTAAATTAATCTTTAAAAGTGCTAATAAATTTGTTACAAAATATATTCTTTAGTAAATCTTTTTCCAGTCATGTTATTGTGGAGCGCAACAAAGTAGTAAAGCCAAACAGTGAGTCTGAATTCCTTTATCTTTTAATCTCAGTATTGAGAAAGCAAATACTGTCATTGAGCAAATTCATGAAAAAATATTTACAGGAAGAGGGAGGAGTAATAGGACTCCTGACAATGATAGCACATCGGCAAACAACCAAAAGAAAAAAGTCTGCATACTGGATTTTTAAGCACTTCTTACCAAAAACATGATCTGTATTCCAAACTATATTTGAATACATTTATTCATAATATATTTACAGAATACCTTAAATGTACAACATTCACACCTTGTATTCTATCAACAATTTTAGAATGAATTAGGCACACATTTTCCAACAATGAGTTGGGGTTGTTTTAAATGCAATCCATACACTGATGTTCAATGATTTAACTACATCCAAAAAAAAAGTATTGCATGTTTTCCCCATTTTATGCATACATTTACATTCTAGACTTTTCCAAAGCTGCTAAACTGCTTCTAATCTTGATTTTTGTGGACAGTAACTGCCCTGACTTGCAACATAATCCGTACAAATAGCCATTCTACAGTAAGAGCATAAACCAGGGGTCTACAGGCCCCTACAGAGGGGGATAAGTGCGTGCAACAGTTGGGGCAATGGATTGGGATGGGGGTAGGGGGCGTTAGTACACATAATACAGTTAGAAATGTTGAAACTTTTGTATTGGACCAGTGTGAAAGGAAGATGGCTGTTAGAAGAGGTCTATAGGAGAACACTCTCCGTTAGCATTCACATTCATCTTGATGAATTGTGATTGGCTACTCAGGTGATTGACATTTGAAGCTCTGGAACTCGATGAAGAGGTTCTTACAGGGCAAATGAAATGACACTGGTCATTTCAAGAACAAGTCCTCACAAATCAGATTCCGGAATGTCTGTAATATTAGGCATTACGTATCCAGTGCTGCAGCTACCGTTGAGCGTGACGTCTGTGCCCGAAGCAGGACCGCTATGCTTGCGGTAATTGGCTGGCATGGGCGACGGGGCTTCGCTTGGCGTCTTCGCGTTGAGAAGACTTGTGTCATCTTCGTCCTCTTCTCTGGCCCTACAAGCAGTGTCTTTTATAATGCGGCCTTTTTTATAGGAGACAGTGGACAGGCCTCCTGTGTTCTCGTCGATGATGTTCAAACAGCGCAGAATAAAAACCACAGGCACAGGGAGGATGGCGGTGACCACCAGTGAGATGCAGACAGCCAGGCCCCAGGGCGGATAGCTGAGAGACTGTTCTTGAGCCTGAGAACAGACACAGCAATTGGATTATTCTGGCAAAGGAATAATTCCACTTTAATCCGGTGGTAAAACTGTGGATTGAAGGCCTTAGAACTGACCCAGGCTTAAAGGAATAGTTCACCCAAAAATGTATCAATAATAAATTAATCGGTGACTTTAAACTTTAGTCTTAACTAGTTTGATGTTTACAAAAAAAAACACCTATAAGTGAAATCATCTACAAAACAATGTCTGAATGGAGTCTGTATGTCCCTCTGAGTAAAACCTGAAAATTACGGCCATATTTTGAGCTAAAAACATGTTTCAGATATTGTAACCTAAGTATTAAACTTTTAAAATTGCATATTGGCCTCTTTTCTCAGAGCTTCATTCAGGGTTACCCACCAGTTGCTGGTTCCATGCGCTGTAGCTAGGTGGCGACAGTCCCAGCTGAATGATGCTTGTGGCCAGAAGACCCAGCAGCAGCACTGGTGTGACAAACTTCCACATATAGTAATAGTAGCGGTATGGAGTGAAACCAAGCATGTCCTTTAGATCCTCAAAGAACCTGAATGAACCCACAGGAGACCGAGATGCATCAATGCCACAATCACTGCCAATTAGATTGCAGTTGCTTGTTTATTAGTTGATTAAGTTGCAGCATAATTATGAACTAATTATATTACGTTTTAAGATTTGATTGTATTAAGCTTTTGTAAATAATTATGATGATTGCTTATTTATATTTACATTTATTTCATATGTAATACAACTATATATAATTTTTAATTGTCTTGTGAAAGCAATCTATTAAGTTAAGTGTGTATGTGGTTAATCTCATTATGGCATCACCTCAGCCAACGCGTACCGCATTTATTTCGGTTTGTTTCATCATGCAGTGTCTCTTGATCACCCACACACATCTCTCCATAACAACACAGCAGAAAACCTGCCTTTAAAGCATTTTACATCTGTTTGTGGCCGTCAATAAGGGTGTCTGAGATTGTGAAAGGAGAAATCTTTAAAAAAATCTATATACATAATGACTTATGGCTATATTTAGTTTATTTGTCAGATTTTCTGATAGCTGTGAAGAATGGATGGGTTTTAAAAGAACACTATTAACTTTCAAAACACATGACTAGTGTGAGCACATAGCTTCCAGTGTTGAATTCCATTTTTTTTAAAGCCAGATGGTGTAGTTAAGACATCTATTAGCAGACTATCTAGCCTGAATGCTACATATGAGTGTAAATTAATGAACTGATGTATGAATGTTACATCCCAAATTACTAAAATTTTCAAACTTCCAAAATCTAATCAGGCCAGTCCGTTCAGACTGAAACATATTTCCAAAACTCTGACATATGAATGTGGGCTTCGAAAAACTGTGGAGTGAAGCTAATTTCATTTGAGTCAGATATATTTTTGCTGCCTGTCCGAACAAAGTGGTTATCTTGACAATACAAGGATTGTCATCTACAGAACGAAGACGATAATGCTGATTGCAGCTTGTTAATGTTTATGATCATGAAAACTTCTACAAGAATGGGCAGACCATGTTTATGATGACACGGCATTTTACACTCACATTTATACATTTGGCAGACATTTTTATTTACAGTGATTTTCACTGCATTGACGGTATACATTTAATCAGATTATGCATTCCCTGGGAATCGAACCCATTACCTTGCCATTGCTAGAGTCATGCTCTGACATGTAGCTGTCACATATTAATGTAGGTTTAACAAGCTAAGTTAAAAAAGCACTTTTTAAAGTAAACAAAACAGCCTTTATGAACGAATTACATAGATGATTGACATTATTGGCTTACTTTGATCTTGCTTTTACTGTATGACTATAATGCTGAAAAGGCTACTAACTCATCTCTGACTCATCAAGGGTGGGCCAGTCTTAAAGTTAAGGACAAAGCCTAAAATTTAACTATCCCACAGCTAAGAAGATTAAAAGACACACTTTCTCTGAAGGTTTTACAGAGATCCATTAAATGTATCAACCCTTCTTTCTGCAGACACACCACTAATTCTACAGTACAGTATCCTCAGTCACTAATAATTGAAGTTGAGTATGGTTATTGGGTGCAGTGCCACAGAACTGTGAATGGAGATGGTGCACATAAAACCATGGCAACCAGCATTACTATGCTATTTGTGCAACCAAAATGACAAAAAGGGGAAAAAAATAATGGCACTGTGGGATTTTTTTATTTTTATTTTGTGAAATGTGCTTTCTGGGAATGTTGAATGAGACGTTGGTATTCTTTTGTGAGGTAAATCCCAGATTAGGCTTCAAAGACTGTCCTTATCCACTGCAGAGTATAGTATCGTATATCCCTTACTGACTGAGGGGCCACACTTAAACAGTAGGAATTCATCTGCTGTCCCTTTAACTGGGAATGGATTAAATCTTCAAATCAGAAACCTTTATTATATCTATCATGAGCATACATAAATTTAGTGCACTCTGTAATGTAATTTTTATGTGGTTACTGAAATATTGTATGTTTTCTTTTAACATATACACTATAAAAATATGTAAAAAGGATGCATAAAAAAGTAACCCCCTATACACGTTGTTTTAACTTCCCAAAAATAAAAATTTGCTGAAAATTGTCTTTCCCTTTTGTCTTTCAAGATGTAGATAAGTTTGTTTCCTCATCAGAACAGATTTGAAGAAGCATTTGTAGAAATTTAGCTTTTAGCGTTTAGCATTGCCATAGATGGATTTGTTTCTTACAAACTCACAGCTTTTTACTTCACAAGACGTTAAGTGATGGATTGATGTTGTTTGGATTACTTTTGGATTACATTGATTCCTTTATCAGCTGTTTGGGCTCTCATTCTGACGGCACCCATTCACTGCAGAGGATCTATTGGTGAGCAAGTGATGTAATGCTAAATTTCTCCAAATCTGTTTTGATGAAGAAACAAACTCCTCTAAATCTTGGATGGCCTGAGGGTGAGTACATTTTAAGCAAATTTTCATTTTTGGGTGAACTATTCATTTAAGGGGGTTTCAACACTCACATGATTTGAGAAAACCTGAACATCGGCTGTCTAAAGCGAACAGGGTCAAAAGCACACTGATGCCAGAGTACTGCATGTGGTCTGATCCGTATGGATGCTGCATCACGTTTCACAACGTTACACAGGCATGGATCACATGAGCGGCTGATGGTTCTCACTGACATAGGAAGGATCACTCTGTAGGTCAGTGTTTCGCTCTGTGTTGCTTTTAAGACATCCCTTGAGGTCTTAGCTGACTTTTATTGTGTGACCAAAGGCAGACTTTCCTAGAACAAAATACAAAACTGTTAGCATCTTACCTTTCCAGAAGACTGGATACCCTTCATCATAGCAAGACACACCATGGTCCAAGCAGCCAGCAGGCACAGAGTCATCCTCCAGTTAAGTCCTCCACTCTCAGAGATGGAATCAGAGATGTCCAGGGCCACACGATACCAGTAGTATGTAGTGGCTGAACTTTTCTCACACTCTGGTTCAACATCTACAAAATATCATGAAACTTACAATCTTGTACCTCATCATAAGATAGATCAGAAAAGTTGTTCAGTACATTAAAATGTATTGTTTCTGTCTAAATGGATGCATTTAATGCAAAGTGCAAACATTAAAAAACATTAACTTAATTTTATGCATTTTAATGCAAACAATAAAAGTATAATTTCCTGTTCTTATTTAAGTTGTCTTACATGTATTCGTTTTGTTTTTGAACAGGGGACACTCGTGCCAAGGAAGAGGCTGCTGGAAGGACTGTGAGAAGTAGAAGAGACTCCAGCCGATGATGACATTGTAGTAAAGACCCACAAAAAAGCACACCTGCAATAAGAGGGAATGCAGTCAAATGTATGGGCTACACCATCTAGTCTTTAAATGGTTTAATTAGTTGCCTTTCCCCAGAGCAAAGACAATTTCCGACTTTGGCCATTTTTATACAGTGCACTTGAAATAATGTTTGTCCTCATGAAAGCACTGATATTCACCAAACAGCTGGCGAAGCCGATGCCACCCAGACGTGGGCTGATGTAGTTCCACACCCCAATACTGCCCCTGCGGATGCGCTGGCCCACTGCTAGCTCCAGGAAGAAGAGGGGAATCCCTATCAACACCAGCAGAATGAGGTAGGGAAGCAGATACGCTCCTACAAAGAGGAGAATTTATGGTTATGGCCCTATTTATTTAGGAACCAAACTTCCACACTGGTATACAGAGGACTTGGAAGATACAGTATGTCAGATACAGTATATTCATGTCACAAGTGACAGTATGTAAATGCAATTAAAGCAATTACCCATCGTGATCAAACATTCTTCAAGGTCAATGTTGGATGATTTTTAAAGGTGTCATATATCTTACCTAAACAAACAAAATTGCTTTTATCTTGGTTTTATGCTTATTCATTCATTATAATTAATATATTCATTTTTATTATTATATATTAATATTTTGAACAAGATATATTTCTATTTTCATTTTAATTTGTAATGATTTTAGTACTTCAAACTTGTCAAGGCAACATTTTTAAAGTAATTTTTGTATTCATCTAATATTTATATTCTATTTTATTTCAGATTTATTTCAATTAAAGACACCCATTTTTAATAATATTATTTTTAGTTAACAATAACAACAGTGGTCTAATCTTACAGTTTTTTACCAAATATGAATGAATGAGGTAACCGACTGTGATTATTTGCAAATATTTTCTTCTCTTGAATTAAACTCCGTTTCAGAGAGCCAAAGAAGGAAGAGACTGACATTTTAAAACTTGTTTAAGCATTGCCAGTGGCACAGGATAGAACAATCCTTCCCAGTGCCTTATGGGGAACAACTTCAATACAATGGCATTGCTTTGACAGTACTGTAGGGCAGCTGCTCCTTCAACATGTTGCAGTCATGTGCTTTAACACACAGAAACCTACTGAAATTCACAGATAATTGTGATGATTTTAAACATCACCATCTGTTATATTTAGAGACATCCAATTGGGAACATAAACTGAAGCAATATTTACAAAAAGGAAATAACAGGTAGTCAAGATATTCTGTAAACGTCACTATATTTTATTTCAAAACATTTTGGTTTGTACGATCTATTTCAACCAGTGTTATTTTAGCATCACTAAGATATTATTATAATTTTTATTAATATTTTGATATTTTATTTTTACATTTTCTGTTTTCATTTTAAGTTTAGTTCAAATTTAAGTAATTTTGTTGTGTTTTTTAGTAGTTTTATTAGTTTTTGTTATATATGTATGCATGTTTTTATGTGTACACATCAAGATAAACAAAATAAAAATGAGAAATGTTCCCTTGCAGCTAACTGAAATAAAAAGATTTTTATATTTTATTTTAGTTCAACTTTTTATTATTTTAATTTTAGTTTCAGTTTCAGTTTTAGTTAACTATAATAACCCTGCTTTGTTGGGTGCCAACCTTACAGTCTAAGCTTTGGGAAATGTCATGATATATAGGCATAATCCAATTTCTGGAGCTTGCACCTCACCCAGGCTTTGCTACATGATAAAAAAGCTAAGCTCCATCACTGATTTCACTGTTTTAACACTAAATTTGTTTAGCAACTTTAGTGTGGACAGCAATATGGGTCTTTAGATCTTGTGCCCAATTAACTTTCAAAATAGTAGAATGTCTTTTTTAGAATGTTTTTGCATTTTGTTTAAGATTTGTAATGTAGGTCAGATTGGGGCGCTGTGGGATGCTGGTTGAAGAATTGGTGACTGCAGGTTGTGCGTAAGATGACATCTGGCAGACGGCAAAACGTTATAAGGGTGTTTCTTTGAGGACAAAACGTGCTGCCATTGATGGCACACAGATGGTGCAGTGTTGTGGCTGCTCTGCCCTGGCAAAGACAGAGGCAGACATGGCCCACACACAGTGGCCTATTTAATCTAATTACAGATCTGCACAGCAGGGTGGCCACATTCACTTATTATAACCTGGAAAGTAAAGCATGGCAGGGTTGTGGTCAAACTCTCGTCGAGAAAACAGGCCTTTGACATAAACTACTGAACAACTGTATACAGTACAAACACAGTACAGTAGTTACTACTATATGAAACCCAAATGTAAGACAGTAGCATTCCTTATAAAATGATAGCTATTACATAGCTTGCTTCTCTTCTGTGTTTCTTTCTGATTCAGAAGTCATTCACTCGCTCTGAAAGTGTCTTTTGCAAATGAAATAAGGAGAACAAAGAGAAAGACATGAGTTATCATATCTAATGTATGTCATTGCTCTCAGGGAGACCTGGGTAAGGAGCTGTAATCTGCTTTCTCTTGACATTAAACAGCGTTGTATAATCGGAGATGGGTAATATAGCCTGTGATTATCCTGCACATGCAAAACCATTCATTTCAATGCCATGCCTACCTATTGTGGGAACTTAGATCTCTCTCTCAAACAACTAATTCTAATTTGTTTTTATTGATTGATATATTTATTGATTGTCATTTTGATACTATTCTTACTCCAATGACTTTCTATGGTTTCAAAAGAAATTACAGCTGATTAGCCGGAGAAGTTTCCAGATGTAGTGATACACCATAACTCCATTATGGTGTATTGTTGTTTGTGTTGACTAAAAATTTGTTGCTTAGTTATATTATGAATTATGATACCCCACAATGTCAGTATTTTCTCTTAATTGTATGTTTTTTTCCCCCAAGAAAGACCTCTGGCACAGAAAATACACTGACTAGACTTGAAGGAGGAAATGCATAGTGAGAACTTGAAAATGAGGTGTCAGGCATATGTCTGACTTTAGGTAGTCAGTCTTAGAAATGAAGTTCCCTTGTGTCTGAGCATGTGTCAATGAACTGAAACAGCTCACAGTTTCACTCTCAAATATTCTCAATTTCTATCTATCTATCTATCTATCTATATATGAATGGAGAATATTTGAGAGTGAATTTGTGAGCAGTTTCAGTTATATATATATATATATATATACAGTATATATATATATATATGTATATATGTACTCGTCAAGGTAATTTTGAATTAATTTCATTCATCATAACCTACCGCCACCATTTTTCTGGCACAAATAGGGGAACCTCCAGACGTTGCCCAGGCCCACTGAGAAGCCCACCTGGGCAAGGATGTACTGGAGCTTGCTGCTCCAGGCGGGCCTCTCCTCCTCCTCCTCCTCCTCCTCCTCCTCTGAGCCCTCCTCAACATCCCGCTCCTTATTCTGTGGAACATCTCCTACCATTAGAGAGCTCTTCTTGAAAGAGTCCTCACAGTTATCTTCATTGGAGAGCAAATCTTTAACAGATTCCGTAACTTCGTCATCGTCAATTTCTCTCTTGAGGGTTTTGCTGTTTTTGGGCATTTGAAAATGTCTTTTTTTGGCAATGGGGAAGGGAGAGATTCTTGGAAGTTCTTTTCGGTAGGGCAGGTTGAGGTCAAACGTACAAAGGCAGGTCAGAGAGTGGGATTTAGTCAATAGATCAAAAGTCAAAAAATATTTATCTTCTCATTTTCACAATACAGGTTTCCTGTTAGATACAAAAACAAAGAACAGAAACTAGACAGGTTAATTCCCCCTGACATGATGCAGTGTGTCACTAAGTTGCATGATTAAAAAAAAAAAGGTTCGCTAGACTCCATCCCCATATCTTCCCCATAACTCCCGCCCACTAAAGACATATACTGATATATGGTCAAACCCAACGCTACTGGATATCCTATATGGCTGAGACAAGTGCAATTCTCAGAATATCTCAGGTAGTTTGTACAATTTATGCATTGTTACCCGAAAAAAAACGCTTACCGTACTTTTAATTTCATTTTTTTTGTAGTTACAGAAAATGTGATGCACAACGCAAAGGAGCAACAGTATTTTCCGTGGCAGGAGGCATCACAGCTTATTCCATTTGACATTAAATGTCACTCAAGGCAACTGCACGATCATATTTCGCGTCTAAATAATTTAGCCCTTCATAGGAGCACGAGGTCGGTTCATTTACATACGAACCCAAACAGACAAGAGCGCGCCTTCTGTAGTCACGTGGCCGCAGCGCCCCAGAATAGCAGGTTTGGATGCCGGTTTCGCAATAGATGGATAGCAAAAAAGAAAATGATAGTAATTACGTTATTAAATCGATCCTTCGAGGCTCAGAAGTTCTGGTTTGTACATTGTATACGGAACCACGAGTGTACAAATGTGAATGATGCTCTCTCAGTCCCAGCTCATGAGATGAATAGATTTCTTTCAAGGCTGCACCTTTTTATAATCCAGCCTCCAGCAGAACACATTTTAGCCTCTTCGTCATTGAATTTACTCTGAATTCTATCAAATATTTAAAAATTCAAAAAGTCATTTTTAAAACAAGGTTATGGAATCTACATGCGCTTAGGGTGTCAAGAATATAGGCTAAAATTAATTTGTTATTAGCAAAGGCTATTGTGACTAAGTTATATGTGTAGATCTTTTTTAAATTCCGCTTATTTTAGGGGAAATGATAAGACAGTTTTATTATACTGACTGAAAATAGGCGCTCACGCTGAAAGCAATTATTATTTACGAAAGAAATACATTATACATTTGTAAAGAACTTAATTTTTTACCCCCTTAACCCCCCGCCCAAATTGACTGTGTCACCCATGTGCGAGGTTTCATCATACCGTATGTTAAATCAGCACAATCGAATAGGGGAAAAAATCATCTTACCTTACAACGAATCAAAAGGAAATGAGCTTAGGTTTTGAAATCGGATGTTTCGACTTGAAGAAGGTTTATGTTTGATTGTTTGGTCATACAAGTATAGCGCATTTACAGTCTGATGTTTAATGTGATGCAGGAGGCGCAGATGCTCTGTGTCTACTGTCTATCCGTATCGTCCGACTCACAGGGAATTGTAGAGGAAAGTGATTCGAGTCCCCTGAAGAACTGAACTAGGCGTGTCTTATGTAGGCTATTAACATATTTTAACACATCATATAATATGACAATATTACATCGCATTTTGCTTTAAATTGTGTTTATGTTCGTAAAATTAATTTGAATCTAACCCCCCCCCCATCAAATGAAACAAAGTGGTACAACCCACTACAGCGCCCACAAGCTGGTTTTTAGGGGTGTACCGGTATTGTAACCTCGTGCTTGGAAATCTTACATCAGCTTTACAATAATGGCTGAAATCTCAGATAATGGCACAGGCCTATAACGACGTGATGGGAACACTGCAGTTTTGTCTGGATTCTTATTATGCCTTTGGTTTTGTCCTAGAACTTCACAAAGCTTTTTATTTCTGGTTCTCAGGAGGATATACAACCTGTAAATTGTGTGAACGTAAAAGTTGGAATAATGGTCTGAAACAGGATATAAATGCATGTAAATTGCAATATTGGTGGCGCTATAAAGAAAAGAAAATTGTGACTTGGTTATAATTGATGGGCAATTGGTAATAGAAATAGGCCAGGACGCGTCCTGGCCAGGATTTCTATATTGCCTAAAATATCTAGGTTTTGGCTTTGTTTGCGTGTGCAGACCGATCGGTGTATGACATCAAAATATCTCGAGAGCATTTTGAAAGCATAAGGAACCGTCTGTATGGCACGTATGGTCACCCTACTTTTATCCTTACATCAGGAAGGCTATTCCAGAGTTTGGGAGCCAAATTTGAAAAAGCTCTACCTACTTTAGTGGACTTTGCTATCCTAGGTACTACCAAAAGTCCAGAGTTTTGCGACCTTAGGGAGCGTGATGGATTGTAGCATGGTAGAAGACTAGTTAGGTACGCAGGAGCTAACCCATTAAGGGCCTTATAGGCAAGTAATAATATTTTGTAACTGATACGGAACTTAATAGGTAGCCAGTGCAGAGACTGTAAAATTGGGGTAATATGATCATATTTTCTTGACCTGGTAAGGTAGTCTTCTACCACTCATACTCTTGCCGCTGCATTTTGGACTACCTGTAGCTTGTTTAAAAGAAAAAAGTGACGTGACAAAGTATGGTTACCCATACTCGGAATTAGTGCTCTGCACTAATCCTAAGTGCACTGCACACACAGCAGTGAACACACACACCCGGAGTAGTGGGCAGCCATTTATGCTGCCGCATCCAGGGAGCAGTTGGGGGTTCAGTGCCTTGCTCAAGGGCACCTCATTCGTGGTATTGAAGGTGGAAGAGAGCACTGTACATTCACTCCCTCCACCTACAATCACTGCCAGTACGAGACTCAAACCTGCAACCTTTGGGTTACGAGTCTGACTCTCTAACCATTAGGCCACAACTTCCCCCAA